TCCGGAAATTATTGGTATAGTATATTAATGAGGCCTTCTTCAACTGCAGTATCTTAAGTCTGCTTCAGAAGGACCAGCGGTCATAATTTGAACTGATAAACGTAGTTTTTTATACCTCAATAGACTGAAAAAAAGGTGCTGTTTTTCAGTGTTGTTGCTGCAGCCAAAATGACATTTCGGTCTGGTCTGAAACGTTTCCCTTGTTGCTTCGGTTTCCCCATACCATCCAAAATCCTGCAGATTTGGGCCTAACCAACCATAGATGTGTTTGTCGTGTAAACGGCTGTTTGCCTTATACGCGGCTCTGTGATGGACTGATAAACTGTCCTGACTGTACCTTGCTATTCCCCAAAGTCAGCTGGAATTGGCTCTAGCTCCCCTCATAGGATAAACAGGTGCAGATGGATGGATGACTGAATTCTAACCAAAAAACTGACCTGAGGAATTTGTTGAGGTCTCCATGCTTCATGTACTCAAACACCATGATGAGAGGGTCTCCGTCTACACACACACCATAGAATTTAACAATGTGGTCATGCTGCAGGTTGGTCAGGAGCTCTGCCTCTCTCTGGAAGTCTTTTCTTGCTGACAGGTTAGGATCTTTGAGTGTCTGAGGGGAAAAAAAGTCAGTGAGATTTACATGTGGCAAAACCAAGACTTTGAATGCACAAGACACATTAAAGAGTACACACATTTGTTACTTATGAGATGGCTAAATATTTTTTAGACTATATTAAGCTTTTTAATTTATTTTTGGAAAATGTTTGCTGAAAACATTTTCAGAAAATTATTAGTATACTATGTCCCTTTGATCAATAATTGCCAGATGAAAATAACATTTTTCATGGATTTTACGTATAAACATATTTTAAGGTAAATCAGTGTATTTGTATGTATTTGTATTTATTGGATTTCTTTTCTATTTTTTCAGACACTGCGACACACAGCACCTTTGGCTACAGGCCATTACCAACTACAGACCTGCTTCACTCTCCTGCGATGGCTCCCTTCCTGAGGCACTGAACCAGTTCCTCACTTGGTTTGAGGGGCAGAATGACACGTGGTGAGGAAGGACAGCCCTTCTCCTAATGACCTGCTGCTCTTCTTGTCTAACTGGGAAGTGAGGAAGGCTCTGCTCGGAGTCAACCCCCAGAAAGCTGCTGGACCTTCTCCCAACTTCTATCCTGATGACCTTTTTTAGGGGGACTATTGACATTATTCTCTGCAGCACCATAACAGCATAGTTTAGGAACTGCACTGCTGCAGACCGTAAGGCCCTGCATTGAAATCACTGCGGCCTCTCTTCCCTCCCTCACGGACATTTTCAACACCCAATGTCTGCGCAAAGCCCCGAGGATTATCAGGGACACTACACACCCACCCATGAACTCTTCTCCTTACTGCCATAAGGCAGACGTTACGACAGCATCACTGCCCCCACATCCAGAATGGGGAAAAGCTTCTTCCCCCAGGCAATTAAACTGCTGAATAACTCCTGACATAAGTTGCCCTGTGCACCTTAAAATCACACTTGCACTTTCTATCAGCTGTGATTTAGGTCTTTATATATACTCTGCATACCCTGTATATTTCTCTGTGCTGCCTTAATATACTTATATAGTTATGTAGACTTATATAGACTGAACATATACTGCATATACTCCCCATATATATATTATATATTATATACAGTATTTGTGTTATTTAAACTAATTATCTGTGTTTAGATTTGTCATCATGTGTTAGATGTAGGACCAAATTGTTCACCGGGAAATATAATTTAATCTCACTGTTTAAATGTGGAAGAAAAAACAATAAAATCTACTTGACCTGGTACTTGAACTTTTTCAAAAATGTATTATTTTTCAAAATGTTATCTTTTCCTGCATGTTTCTCATAAAATTAGGGCCTTTAAAGATCATTTTTGGAAATTCTTTTTTAATAAAGTGTTCTGTAAATACGTGAAGTTTTTGTAATTTTTGATCAAAAACTGAAAACCTTTTGAGAAATTTTGTTTTATGATTTTGTTTTATAAAATTTTCGGGTGTCATGTGGTCAGGTGACAAATTTAGTTGAAAAAAAAATCGAAATTTTGACTTTTCTGCATGTTTCTGATCAAATT